TGGAAGAAGATTTAGGAATAGATTTCCTTGTAATGATCTTAATTTGCACCTAGATCTTATTTTCTTCGTGGTCCTGAAAACCTTGTTCATCGGTATACTAGACGGTTCTCGGTCTCTACATCGTTTTATTCTTTTCGCTGATTTGAAATGCCTGTAATTATCACTCCTTCGTGAAGAGAGAAAGAAATCCAAATCCTTCAGTTTTGATAAATGGACGCTTACATTTTCATGAGTACTGCTACATTTCAAATTATTTTGTCGATTAAAATATACCACAGCTTTCTTAGATAATTCGTTACTCAAAGAAATTCTGAGGGTTTGTCGAGGCACATGGTCGAAAAGCACACGGATTCCGGCATCAATTCGTTGTTTTCTCTTCGTTTCCTAATTCAACTGGTCCCGACTATTCCTCGCTCTATTTATTCTTGAATGGGATTCTTCATGGTCTTTTCGTTCCCGACTCCTCGCGATTAATAAATCGATTTGGTTACACATTCTTTAGCTAATATTTTCTTTCCCCTTTCACATTATTCATCACAAAATGTATACTTAAGTGCCACTCTCTCTAAGAGCGGTCCTCTCGACCTTCCGTCCAAAAAACTTTTCCTTAATTTTTTTTCCTATGTAAAGGGTTTAGGACACATAATTAAAAAATAGTCTGTTCGTTTTCCAATTCTCTTTTTTTGCCTCGCAACAAGCGAAAATTGACTTTTGGCTAGACCACAGGTGTAGACAAAGATCGAAAGTATAAATTTCACAGCTTATGTCGAGCGCGCTGCGACTGTAATAGTGTAGTTTACGGAATTCTCTCTTTCTTCAAGTTTCAAGCTATATTCAGTCAGTTCACAGACAAAATATGAAAACTTCACCTGAAATCCTATTGTTATCAACGTGATCAAAAGTGACCCTTCCCTTCGATCTTAGTTTGCATATCAAAATTTGACCAATTTAAAAGAAAATATTCTCAAAATGTAGGCGTAAATCGGGCTAAAAAAAACATATCGGAGGATATTTTATACCCAAATGAGGTCACCGATTGCTTCAAACCTGCGGCTATCTCTCTAGCTTTCATCCTCCATCATCTTGAAAACAACGCAAATCATTGTCTTTACTTAATCACGCACGTGTTTGAGCTAATTTGCATAATTCTGAAGAATGACCAAGATATGTCTTTGACTGTTCAAACTTCGTTTGTT